AGTTAGAAGGAGGACATACTGGCTGCTGCATTGTTGTCAGAGAAGCCAGCACTTCAACATAGCATGTTTCCTTAATGTCTGATCATACAGTAAGATCACTTTATCATTTCAGTAACAGTAACGAAGTTTTGTATTTTTTTAGCTTAATTGAAGTTAAATGTCGAAGAACATGAGGTTCAGTAAGCTGTGCAGAGAATCAGCTGGTTTTAAATGTCCCTCTGAGTAGTACGTGTTCTTCTTCTACTTGAGTAAAATGTGTTTACTTCTACGACCTCTGTTCGTGTGACTGAGTCAGTAAACAAACCTGTAGACCACCACCGGGATCCTCTTCCAGGATCTGAAGGAAGCCACGCTCTCCAGCTCCTTGTCCGTGATCCAGATTGGAACGAGGAGCTTCTGTGGATAGCTGGCACACAGCCTGCAGACGACAGTGAAAGAGATGCATTCTTTTTTATTAGTCAGGAAGAGCGAGTGCAGTTTGTACTGCTGCAAACGTTATGCAGCCAATATACCGAGGATGATTTAAGAGAACTGAGGACACTGCAAGTCTTTCATTGAGAAAACACAAACAAACCAAGATTAAACAGCTTCGACACACAATACAGTAATGTTCTGCTTTTCAGGGTCACTACTGCATCAACAACTCAGCTTTGGCAGGAACTAAATCACAGAGTGCTTCGGCCTGACTCCATCTGTCTCTGGTCTCCACCTCCTCCTCCGCCTCTCCTATGATACTCTCTTCAGTTTCTATTCACCTGCTGGCTGACTAAAGAGGGAGAAGGAGACAAAGTGCATGCGCATGTGTGCGAGTAGGTAGAGAGAGAGTGAAACACTGTGCTGAGTCATGGGCCTCAGCAGGCTGCGGCTCGTTTAATTAGCCGGTTGTCCTGTGTGTCTGTCTCCCTCAGCAGGATGTGCTCTCCGGGGTCCTCTGAGCAGACTGACCTTTTTTATTTTATGTGTAGCGTTTATTTCTAGAGGCAGCAAAAGGGGACACAGGTCTGATGCTCAGGTACACACAGACACACTGTAACCTGCATTAATTCGGCTTGACTGACGGCTACTCTGTACACGTTTAAGACTGAACATTAATGAGGGCGCTCCGGACCTCAGAGGTCAGACGAGACAAGGCCGACAAGCAAACACATGGATCTGTGTTGTAGAAAACGTATTTATATTAAAATCTGAACATAAGTCATACTTGTAATCAATCTCCTTAGTGCATGCATGAAGAAATCACCCTGAGTTATTGATCCATATGTTCAGCATTTCATAGGCTACGAGAGACGTCAATCATTGGCACAGTCAAATGCAATTGGCCAGGAAGCGGGCATCAGGAGCAGGCACCGCCTTTTAACTAAAGCTCTCATTGGCTGTAACAGGCTGGGAACAGCGAATGGAAGGTCGTAATTGGACAAACGAGGTGTCCATTGAAAGGTCACAGTGAGGACCAGCTTTCGATGTATCACAGTTGAAAAGATTCATTCATAAAAAAGAATAATAACAGAAAATACAGAGGTGAATCCTCAGATTTCCCCCCCTTAATGTGGCCCTAATACTCCTTTGTAGGAAGCAGCTCCTGTTTGCCATGAGCCGACAAAAAGACCCCCGTCACATGACCACTTTCCTACCAAAGAAAACCTTAAATCCTCCTGATTCTTTAGCCAACATGGACTTTGTATATGATGGTGATCCCTTTAGTCATTACCAACTTAACTCCCATGTCCTGATAATGTTCTGACACAGTTTAGAGATGTGCTGACACACACGTTGTCAATCCCACAGTCTGTTCAGATCAGTGACACGTTGATAACAGCGCCGCTACTCCAGCCCTGCTCTCCGTCACAGCTCGCATTTAATCTCTCCTAAACCTTCTCGATGTCTAAACAATCATCACGGCTCTTTAAAGGAAGAATATTTAACTTTTTGATCCAGTAGATGTCGCTCTTGAGCACCAGCATGAAACCAAAACAACTCACGCTGCATTGTTGTGTTAGCATGCTAATGCTAGCGATCTTTATTATGCTCGTATCTTCACACTGCATGTAAATTTACCCGAAATGACCGTGTTCTATAAATGCTTATGTGACATTCAAATAAGCAGTGAGTACAGTATGTTATTCTTCTTTTCTCTAGTCCCTCAATTAAACAACTTTAATACGCGAGGTGATGAGCCAGCCGGTCGTCCCGTCGATGTAAACACGCTGTAGATACGGCTCAGAAAACATCACAGACAGTGGGACTCAGGTGTCACACTCATTGTAGACAGTCATGACTCACAGAGTTGTTTTTAGAGGATATACTTGATTTCTGCTATATTTAAGTGTAAAAAATCTCATATTCTTCCTTTAAAGTTACAGTATCGTGCAGCTTAGTGCTGCCACAGCGCTGTCAGGGCTTTGATCGGTTAGGTATCTGTGACGTACTTGAAGTTGCAGTTTATGTCCGACACTCTCCAGATGTTCTGTGTGTCGAAGCCCAACCGCTTCACCTCAACCTCCATCCTTTGGCGCACGTGGTCACCTGCACACACACACACACACACACACAGCAGGGAGGGAGAAGATTGTTAAAAGATTTTTTGGGGTTAAACTTCAGTCTTGAAAGTTGTTGTTGTAAATGTGTTTACCTGGGCGACAGAGATGAACGTGCTGGTCTTCATCATCAGTGCAGCCTCCCAGACACCAGGCGTGATAGGCCAGAGCGAACAGGTCCTCCAGTCGGGACGGGTGGGCTATGGCCCGGTTCAGACGCTTCACCCACTCCTGGCATTGCTTGAACGTTGAAAAGTGACATCTGTGGCAAACACAACGTGAAAAAAGTGAGATTTTCCAGCCTTTAAACTTGTGGTTCTCAACTGCTCAGGGCCTCAGGAGCCTCCTATGACTCCTTCATCAAAAATCAAGACCGACATGTCTGATATTGTTTAACCAATCAGATGTATTTAAAGGCTTGGTGGCTTTTCCCTGAAAAACAAAACACAGACTTATACTAAAGTAAAGCTGCTCCATCATCCCTTTTGGGCCTCCATTAGGGCTGGACAGTTAATCGGAAATGAATCGAAACCGACATTCAGAACTCTCTAATCGACAAAATATTCCCCGTGTTGATTATTTTGATTATTTTCAGGCGTCCTTTGGACACATTTTGTCTTTAGGGAAGACGACACCGTACAAAATAATCAAATGTAAACACTGCAGAATAGCTGTTTGCAAGACATGCAAGTTATTTATTTGCTACTATTTTGGAGAAGTTAATTTCTACTTAACTAAAATTTGTAGAAACCACATCAGTGAACTATGAGGGCAAAAAACAAAAATGAAATAATCGTTCATTAATCGTAATCGAGGTAAAATGTTCAATTAATTGTGATGTTGATTTGAGGTCATATCGCCCAGCCCTAGCCTCCATACATGTGTGGTGGTGACTGTGTCTGCAGAGACTCTGTCCTCTGACTGGATTTTACTGTTCTGGTTTGTTCTGGTTTGTTCTGGTTGACTCGGGACGTTTCTGGACGGAGCTGTGTGTTTCCTCCAGCCAATGACAGCGCAGCAGGTGAGTTTAGGTGGGGAAACATGATTTCAAACCAGCAAACATGATGGATGTGGACGTTGCAGCAAAGAAGAGAAAATATAATCATACATCAACCAGACGCCAAGCGGATAAATCTTGTTTCAAAATGAGGCATTGTCACATACAAGGCAGCAGCTCCATAATCACCACAGTCTGAAGATAATGGAGATGCTGGAGTAGAACGATAATCATATTTACATAACGACTGTAAGAGTTTTTAGCCACTATTTTTAACCCTGGACATATTGATTAGTGCTTAAGTGTTCTTGTGTGATACAACTCTTCTCTTCGTGTCCAGACAGAAATAAACTCCTGAATCATTTATTCAAATGTGTACCAGACTGTTGGACTCGATTCACGCTGGCATCAATCCGCCTGCAGCGTTATTACGACGACATTAGAGTGGAGGGTAGTTGCTTTTCTCACCTGACAACTTTGGAGTCTTTGCAGATGATGTGCAGCTGGAACATATCTCTGCTCTCCACGCTCTCGATCAGCCTGAGAGGCACCTGTAGGGGGGAGACAGACAGCACCTGTGGTCAACCTGATGGCACGCCGTCAGAGCACACACTACATCTGCAAAAAAAAAGGTAACCACCCTCTGATCTAGTACAGACTGAATCTTAAGTTAGAGACACAAAGTAGAGCTTTAATCACCCTGCAGACGAAAAGCTGCTAAAGTAATCTCACTTTGTCTCTACATTATCTGTTACTAGGGCCCAACCGATACAGGATTTTTATGCCAGATACCCATAATAGGGGAGGGGAAAAAAAATCAGATACCGATATATCGGCCGATATTTTTCTCAGATCTATGTTCAATCTGTAGAGATGAATTTAGATTTACACATTTATTGCGTTGATCCCTTTAATTCAGTTACAACCTAACACTTGTGGAAAAGATTTATAATGAAGACAAGATGGTCACTCGACTGGAAAGTAACTGAGCATATACAGTACGTGCATCACCGCTCAACCCACTGGAGAGTGATGATGCTTGTTGTAATCAATATAGCGCCCTCTGCTGGTGACAGAGAACTGCTACTTCAATTCAATGAAGTGCAAATGAAATGCTATTTGACTGGTGAAAGAATCAAGTAATATCAGCAGATATCTGTGATAAAATAAGCTGATACTGATAGTCACTGGATATGCTAATATCGGCCGATATTATCGGCTTGCCGATTTATCGGTCGAGCTCTATCTGTTATGTTACAAAAGATATTAACAGGATTGTTCACGGTCCTTTCTAAGCTATGAAAGTATCCTGCAAACGGGTGTTACTGAAGGTGCTGCTATGGTAAAATGGTGCCGGGGGAGTTGCGATTCTTTCTACGTATCAATGGACTGCAGGGAGTCTAGCTCCAGCGTTTAGGGTCGGATCGTTATGATTGGCATCCCAAAAGAAGGGTAGCAAAAAAATAGGGCGGTACGGATCGGTTATTTTGGTGCCATTTCCATTTCCATCAAACAACACTTAACATTTTTCTTTATCTTTTATTGCAAAAAAATAAGGTCAGCCAACACATTGCACCACAGTTATCTGCAATGTGTTCTCAAGGAAGAACACAATAAAGCCAGTGTTCCCACTAACTTGGACGTAAATGACAATCTGTCCCCAGAGCACTGTAATTGTTTTAAGTGAGGAGCAGCTGAATGACTTAAGCTGTCTAGTCTGTGGCAGAGGGTGGTGTTTTATCATATGGTACTCACAGATATCTCATTGTCCACACCTGGGTAGGTCTATAACACAAGTGACACCATAGAGCACACACATAGGAGGGAGGGAGGGAGGGAAGACACAAGACAGGAGGAGATGGAAAAACTATTATACCAAAGGATTCAGGAGACAAAAAGGAAATGAAGAGTTAACAGGAAAGAAAACATCAAAAAGAGGCTGAAAGATGAGACGATAACTGAGTGGATCATGGAGTTTGCTACTTGCAGCACATGACTGAGTCGAAAGGGAAATCATGGAGAGAAAGACAAACATGGACGGGAGCAAAGGGCAAGAAAACAGCTCAGAAGCAGGCGGAGGAGCGGTGAAAGGGGTGGGGGGTGGGTGAAAGGTTGTTGCCGTTCATTTAGAGTTCATCTGCGATGCCGGGGTCAAGGCAGGTCTCTGCCCGGCAGGAAAAGCAGCCGAGAGCAACTGCAAGCTGGTGACATTTTAGCTCGAAGCTTGAATCTAACTCTCCTCTGCTATAGTAAGCCAAGGTTAGGAACCAACTTGTCCCCTCACCTCCTTCTTCTCCTCCTTTTCTATCCCCTGTCATCTTTTCCAGTAGCCGAATCCTTCTGGAAAACTTGACAGGGATTTTGGAAGAAGGAGGAATTTTGCTGCCAGTGAATGCAAACAATTGGCCTGTTTGTGTTTGAGCAAGGCCTGACGTCAGCAGGAGCAAGCTGGTGGACATCAGTGCCAGCGGGGGTCGGGCCTTTGGAAGCCTAGATGTCACATTAAACCTCCCCTGCATGAAGATCAGAGGGCCCCGCTGCTCCTGTGGTACACACAACCTCATGCCAACTACGCTCGGACATTATGAAAACCCATTTAAATGGCACCCCATGTCGAATTCTTGTAGGTTTATTTGCCCTCTTAGCACAATTATGTGTTTATCAAAATTTATAGGGGGGAATAGGAAAAAGCCTGTGTGTGCATCCAAACTACATATTACAGCCTCCTCTCTTCTGCTATTGGCTTCTGTAATGACACGGCAGCAGCAGAGAACATTTGGACCGGAGTGAGACTCTCCATTTGTGGTTGGTCTGTGTGTTTACTGTCTGTGACGTGCACTCACGTTGATGACAGAGTCCTTGAACTTGATGTGGAGTCGGTAGTTAGAAATGGCAATGATGGCTTCATCGGCATGGCCAAGATATTCCACCCCTTCCCCCTGAAGAACTGGGAATGGCACCTGCAGAAGCACAAAACAACCACATTGTTGAATCCAAAGCAGCAAAAACATGACAGAGACACCTGCTTATTGTCGGGCAGTGTTATGTCTGCTGGGAGAATCAGAACATGCATTTTTAAACAGTCTACCTAAAGCCATACCAGCTGCTCTGTGAGGCGTTGCTTAGGCAGTGAGTAAACAAACAGCGCCACCCTCTGAATCAACATCATTAGAGGTGGAGGTGGTTTGGCTTTGAAAAGACGGATGTTACTTAACAGACGCGAATCTGCAGCAGAAAGCGGTTGGCATTAAAGACGGTGGTATCAGGCAACTCAACAAACAACTTGTTTCACCATCTATAAATTAACCACGGCATAGAATATGAAAAGCTTCAGGGCTGAGCAGACGGCTACGACCGAGCAGCTCAGGTACCAAGAAAAACTGTGGCTCCTTTCCCTCTCTCTCTCCCTGGTGTCCGGCCCTATCACTTCAGTAAAGGTACTAAAAGCCCAAAAATAAACTTTTAAAATTAAATAGAGCACAACCGATTTATCAGCCAGCCAATAATATTGGCCGATATTAGGATTTCGGTGACTATCGGTATCGGCTAATTTTATCACAGATATGCACCGGTCAAATAGCATTACATTTGAGTTTCATTGTATTACAAGCAGTTCTCTGTCACCAGCAGAGGGCGCTATATGGATTACAACAAGCATCACCACTCTCCAGAGTGTCAAGCGGTGATGCACGTACATGCTCAGTTATGTTCCAGTTGAGTGACCATCTTCTCTTTGTTATATATCTTTTTCACAAGTGTTTGATGACTGCACTTAAGGGATCAACGCAATAAATGTGTAAATCTATATCTATCTCTACAGATCGAACATAGATCTAAGAAAGATATTGGCCGATATATCGGTGTCAGATAGTCAGGCCCTAAAATTAAACACTAATGTGCTTGAGAAGGATTAGTAGAATATCTGTTGTGTTGATTTATAGTAACTGAAACTCAAATGTTTTATTGGCACCAGTACAGAGAATTCTGAAGACATGAATCAAAGATGAAATTCACGCTCACACCCTTCGGCCTACCAGAAGCTAAACTTGTACGTCCTGTGGTTAGAGTGACATTACAGATATGACAAAGAGGGGTACATGTGGGAAACAGTGTGCATGTGTAGCTGTCCAATTAGCACAAAGTAGCTTTACAGAAGGACCTTTGTGAGCACAGAGGGGCTTGTTGGTGAGCCTGAATGAGCAGGCAGACAAGAGAGACTGTCTGCACTGGAGCCGCGACTGTACCATGAGGGATCACAAACTGTCCATTAACATTCTTACTCGTACCCATTTCATGAAACACACAGCCAAGTCCGGGCTTTGGCTGCAGTGACACCCTTACATTAAGATAATTGGTTCCCAGAGGAGGTTCATAGAAAACATTTTTCAGGCAGGGCATTAGCCGCAGCTACAGTAGCCAACTTCTAAACAATGTCTCATTTCATATGGAAAAGGACGCGTACACCAGATTTCCGATGAGGCCGCCTCACCCTGACCCCTTGGGTAATTGATATTGTTCTGCTGTTAAAAACAGCTGCTCTTAAAATAATGATCAGAGCATCTACAGCAGTTGTTTATCATTTCTGACATTATGTACAGACATTAAACCACTTTGAATAATAAAACAACATATGAAGTCTGCTGGGAGTCTCTCTCTCTCTCTCTCTCTCTCTCTCTCTCTCTCTCTCTCTCTCTCTCTCTCTCTCTCTCTCTCTCTCTCTCTCTCTCTCTCTCTCTCTCTCTCTCTCTCTCTCTCTCTCTCTCTCTCTCTCTCTCTCTCTCTCTCTCTCTCTCTCTCTCTCTCTCTCTCTCTCTCTCTCTCTCTCTCTCTCTCTCTCTCTCTCTCTCTCTCTCTCTCATTTACACGACCTCCTCACACTGTAGTTTCTCTTAGTCATCACTGCTGTGTGACTGCCTGGGGACCGAAAAATGCAACTCAGGTCTTGTTGTTTAGCCGCTGGTAGTGCGGACAACAGTGTTGCTTAGAGACAACATCACCTCATCCTGCTTTAACATGCATTGCTGAGTCACGCAGAGGAGAACCCGGTGCATGTTAATAGAGGACAGGCAGCGGGGCAGATGGGAGGATTATGGTAAGATGTCAGAAAATCAGGCTTACTTGAAACAACATTAGCCAGCATGGTAAAAAGCACAGCCTTAGTTATTGTACACAGAGCACATGAGCAAGCATCTGGTAGCATCTGCTAACTCAGAGACCTTATAGTAGATTCAAACTTTATTTAGAGGACTAATGTTGATTATCAAATAGTTTGAAGCTTCCTGACAAGCCATCAAGTTTTGAAAGCCCTGATATTTATGACTCCAACCGCTGTTGCTCATTGCTAAGTGAAAATGTGTGCGTGATCCAGGAAAGGAAGCATGATGAGGGAGCGAGTACAGCTTAACCTGGGAAATGGAGCACGTAGTACTCGGCACTCGCTCACACACCAACAGAGCCAAATATAGGCTGCAGGCCCCTTGGCACCATGAACAAGAACTTCTGAAGAGTGGGATATCTAAACTCTGACAAATGAAATGTCGCATGTGGTTAGAAATATTTCAACTTTGCCACTCAATCAGATTTAAAGTGGCAGGTTTACAAACCAAGCTGGCACCAAAACCACAACAGAGCAGCTCTAGTTGTTGACAGCAATGGAAAAATGTGCAGATACATTTCTGCAACGTAAAAAAAAAAAAAAGGAGAGGAAAAGGGTGGGAACCTAAATTGGAGCATTTTTGCATTCATGATGAGTCAGGGGATGCACTCTATTTGCATTAAATATGGCAGCAACAGCGGCAGAAAGGGCTCAAATGAGAGCGTGCAGCTATGAAGTCTGCTGCTCTGCCGTGCAAGAGACCTTACTCGTCCTGCCGAGAGTGCCATAGTTAACATGCTGCACAGACTGGGAGCTGCATTAGACAAGCTGTGCTCCAAAAGTAGGTGCATGAGTCACCGGCAGCCAGCAAGTGCAGCAGAAGATACTGTGTCACATTTCCTCTGCCAAGTCTTCAGCAACAGAATTATTTACTAAAAAAAAAAAAAGAGAGAGAAAGAAAGGGAGCGAGAGAGAGACACGTGAATAACACTGGTCGACTTCTGAGTCGTGACTTCCGGTTTGAGCAGCCTGCCTGTGAGGACGAGCACGTGTGCATGAGCACAACTGCAAGCATGCAGCGCTGCCAGCACGCACACACGAGAGGAGATGCAGAGGGGTATTAAACACAGTGGGATAGGGAAATGTCTGTAATTTGCCAGTGGGGAAAGCTGTAGTTAGAGACATCATCTGTCAGAGAATTTCTTGCAGGAAGGGCCTACACTCAAATACGAGACACAACGTGTGAGAGCATGTGTGAATGAAGGGGGAGGAGATTGATGTGCAGAAACAGGAAAAATGTGCAAGGTGGATAAAATACAGAAGCATTGTTACAGAGTCCCTCTAGTCTTCTTACAATACAGAAATCTACCAGGACGTTTGCACAGCACGCAAAACCACCACTTTAAAGTAAAACATCTAATTTGTTTAAATAGTTTTTACTCCCTGCAGTTCATTACCACCCAGGTGGAAACATGCTTCTCTTTAAAACCATGAAAACAGAGACAGCAGACGGTGACCCCGAGCTCCACCTTCCCTTTGTCCAGCTCTCCAGACACATGATGCTCAGCTCCATTACCCACCAGACGGCCGGAGAGTACAAACTCTTCAGTGCAGAGGGCGCCGTGCACGTTTTCCATCTCTATTCTGCTAGTGGCATCTACATTGTGAAAAAGACTTCTCCCAAAACCTGCTCACTTTAGCGACCCTCATTCTTTTATGTGCACTGCTCTTTGTCCTCTGATGTGGAAGTGCTTTTTTGGGACACAGTTTTTTATGCAGCTCTCCAACAACCACAGGCCTTTACAAGTATTTTAAATCAGTTGATAAGTCAAATGTTTAAAGGAAGAATGTGCAAATTCTCTGAAAATGTTTTTCTGGCAAGAAGAACGTACTCACTGATTATTTGGACATCACATGTGTTAGAGTGTCAAGTGTTGTTCGATCACAGTCATTCTGTGTACATTTAGCTTGCAAAGTGAAGCTACGAGCTAACTAAAGAGCGCTATCATTAGCATGCTAACACAACAATGCAGCTCGAGCTGAGGACAATTTTGTCCATCGCTTGCACTTGACTCCTTTGTGCAAACGCAAGTGGAGAGGGGTTGGAGGTGTGTCTCTGGAGGAGAACGGAGGCTTCAGTATGGGGGAGGTGTCACTAAACAGCAGTTTGTTTTGGTTTCATGCTGGAGCTCAAGGGCGACCTCTACTGGATCAAAAAGTTGCACATTCTTCCTTTAAGCAGAAACAATGACCAATTTATGAACTTAAAACTGAGCCAATAAAAGTCTTGTGGGCATAGAAGTGTTTATTGTCACCTGCTGCACTGAATGAACAACTTTTAAGTTTATGTTTCACGCAGCACTTTATATTAAAAGGCAGCCGCCTTGACAACACGCAGGGCGCGTGTTGTCTAATCGATCTCTGTGAAAAAAATACAAAACAAGTTGATTAAAGTCCTCTCTCTTTGTGAGATTCAGAAGCAGCTCCGGTTGCTATTGGGTGCTCTGTTGGGATCACCCACCACACTTCAGGCCGTGCGTCACCTGCAGATTATTCACTGAACAAACAGGAACACAACTTTTCTCTGTTTCATCTCCCCGTGTCCGTATTTATCATGCAGGTATCAGATGGCTTCAGGGAGACAACAATCCAAAATGTATTGTAAGTTACTTTACAGCCGGTTGTGGTCCAAAAACTGACAATAAGCACCTCAACTCCGAGCCTCCTTTGCTGCAGCTGCAGATACAGAGACATCTGCTACATGAATGGTGTATTTTTTACATGTTCAACATTGTCAAAGGTGGAGAACAGTCCCCCATCACACATGTATAAAGGCCCAGACGTGATAATGGAGCAGCTTTACTTTAGGATAAGTCTGTATTTAATTTTTTAGGAAAAAGCTTCTGACTATCTTTAAACAATTAACACAATTATTTGAATAGATCATAATCGACAAGGCACCAGAGTATCATGGTGACATAATAATCTGCTTGAGGTCCATGGTTAAAATAATGCGGGATATGCCAGAGACAGCTGTGAAGTAGCAGGCTGTCATTTCTCCGTCTGTGTGACAGCCACACATGAAAACAACCACGACTACTACAGAAGAGTGTGATTCACACCTTCTCCAGCATTTCTATACTGTGACCATGACAGGCTTTGTCAACATATTTCACTTCCTGAAGTAAAAACATACCTTCCACTCTTGTTAAAGCCTCGCACAGATAAAGTCTAGGTCTCCTTATTCTTCGTTCCATTTACCTCAGATCTCGTAACTGGGAATGACGTCACACCCGAGTTAACTGCATTCCAGTTGCAAGTCAGAAAAGCAACATGGACGCCTCCAGGAGTACCTTTGTTTTGTTAGGTAATACCAGAAGATAATAACACACTACGTGAAAAAAGTTCCTGACCGAAAATAACATGAAAACACCTCCACAGAGACAACTTGCATGATACCATCAGTGTGATTAATTTAATTACACAAAAAGACGACTAAGCTGCTAATAAACACAAAAGTACCAGCTTAAACAGTTGATGCACGTAGCAGCCATATTGGATTTGAACTCGGGCTACTGAAGGTTCTACGAGTTTCCGAATCGGAATTCTGACTTCAGGGGGCGTTCCTGATGACATATCAGACTGGAAACTCAGAATTTCCGACTTCTGAGATCAAATGGAACGCAGCATTAAAATGAAGAGGACTAATAATGGAGTCTCAGCTTGAAAAAATGGAAATTGCAAAGTAAGGAAAGGTAGTCAGTCTGAGCAGCTGCATCAAATATGATCTTGTGATTCGAATCAAATATGATTCATAAAGTCACCTGTGACTTGTCTTTACTATCACTCGTAGCCTGCAACAACAGAATCAGTTCTACAACTTCAGAAGAAGTCAGAGATGTTTGTTCGCTCAGGTGAGAACAGCAATCCTTGTATGTATGATATGTGTATGATATATGATATCGCGCCTGTTGGCCGAAACGTTGGGGTTTAGTTCCCCTCTAAATCTGTTGAACACGGCTTCAGATGTAAAATATACTTTTGGCACATTTTGTAGGAATGGAGGATGACGGCGCAATGATAGGAAAATTCTGTTTCTGGTCAGCGCCAACATCCCTACCTCAGTGTCTGGTCTTAAGTCTGCCAAGTTGACACTTCTGCAGTAATATCTTAGCAACCCTACATTACGGAGTGAAGCTCTGTCAGGGGTTTTTAGAGGGAAAGCCTGCAGCCAAACCAGCAGCCAGGACTTGAGATGAGATCATAATGTGAAGGAGCTACAATCTCCAGGTCGTCTTCTCCACAGACATGCAGCTGGGTGTCGGAGCAGATGGGTCTGTGCTCTGCAGCAGCAGGTGTCACTCACTCACCTGAAGGCTTTCATCCTCCTTCACCAGCTCCTTCTGGGGGAACAGGTCCTTGGCATTGATATACTCCAGGCTGGGAGGCCCCTCTTCACCCTGTCAGACACAAACACAACACGGAGGTGGTCAGATGAATAACAAGTAAGTCATTGTTCAGGTAAACACAGCAGGGTGAGACACCATGTCAAGATACAAATTAAAAACATGGACTGTGTTTAAGTAGTGGACGCAGCATCTGGGTCTGAAAAGTGAAAATAATGTGGAGGAGCCTGAACTTGCTCTACCATCTCTGTGCTCTAATGAACCTGCTGCATTATGTTTCCTGTTCTCCAGTATGTTCTTCTCCACTCTTTAGTTCACATTGTGATTCTGTTTAACTACACGTAGCATTGATAGACAGACACATAGTCTCATTATAGCGTCGTATAGAGGACTCTGTTGCTTCGTCAGCTACTTCTTCATCGTTTTTCTTTTACATCATGCCTTCCCTCAGGAGACCCCCCCCCCCCCCCCCCCCCCCCCCCCCCCCCCCACCTCCCGTCTGACAGGGATAGTCTCTCCCTAGGTGCATGTGTGAACAACCAGATCAGGAGAATATCAGGAGCAGTCCTCCTGAAATTCTCATATGTGAAAATGGCTTGAGAAAATGTCAGCTCCTCACTTGATGAATCCCCTCAGTCAAAATTTCCATATGACTTTCTGTTCTCATCACTCGTCTTAACAATATGATGTTCATTTTGAAGAAACTGTTCCTTTTTAGATTAAAACAGGCAATAAAGCAGGGAATGATTACATCTTGGCAAACATGCAACTACCATATCAACCTCTCAACCAGTATAGAGGCCTTGCAATTCCCATCAGTCATCACATGACTACTTCTGGCACAGAGGAAGCTAAGATGTCGACGGCCAAATTGCCAAAAGCTAGTCCACAAACCACTGGATGTTGTCACGTTGGCAAGGTCAAATTCCAATATACACGATTGAAGAAATAACATCTTCAGACCTTGTTCCAATACAGTTTATTAACAACAGTGTCAAACAACATTGAAAGAAGATCAGACAGGCCAATATGTACTTAATTATCTTTAAAAACAAACCCCATTTAAAGGTTTTTGTCTGGTCTTGTATTGGGCATTATCAGGGGGAGTGTTTGATCTGAGCTGCATGCCAGATGGAATATCAAAGTCACCATCAGCTAACTCACAGACGTCACGTATGAGATTAAAAATTGACCACGAGCGATTTAAAAGTCTCTCCAAATATGGGGCAGATGACCTTGTCTCGGGTCAATGAGGCAGACTACTTTACAAACGTGTTCTGCTCGATTCTCAGCAGCCTTTCTCTTCAGTTGATCAATAACAATGCTGAAGGAAGAAAGTGCTTTGGCCCGGTGCAGGTTGTTGGTGAAGGTGCAAATGATAATCAGCACTTGGCATCAGATACCAAAGACTCTGTTTTTGTGCATGCATACTACAGTTCTGTGCACTCAGACTTGGAGAAGTATTTCACACACAAGTTTTTCATGACTCATGCACTGACATTGACTTCTTCAAATAAATGCTTCTGGGATAATTTGACGAGGGTGCTCGTCAATGCAACATTTTGATCAAGCTAAGATGGATTTTTTGGCTAAATTTAGACTGCAACACGTCAACAAGCAGAGAAGAGAGCGAGAGAGGGACAAAGGTGCAGTCGACCTCGTCCTTGTAGCTCCAGCCCCTCTCTCACACTGAGCTCCTTACAGGCACCTGTGTTACTCGAGTACCCTCTCTTGTATTCTCTCCCGTGTTTGAAGGACATACCCATTGTTTACTTGATTACTTAAAGTATACTCAAAGTGCATTAAGTTGACTAAAATCCAGATTTCAAAGACTATTATTAGTGCTGTCAAACGATGAAATGACATACTGAGTGAAAACGTCATAAGATCCAAAGATAAAGCAACAAAGAAAACACTGTACATATTTACTTACAAGTTATATGAGCTACCAAACAATTACAAATATTAATCTCGATTAATCGCTAAATTTCAGTATTTAATTGCAATTAATCGCATTATTAATCGCATGTTTGAAATTCAATTATTTCCATAAAAAAATAATTGTTGAGCTTTTATTTTGAATGTTTGTCCTGTCTTAAGCTGAGAGTACTTTCCTTGTTGTCTGCTTTTATTTTGAAATAAAGTAAGGCCCTTCCTGTAGATGGAAGGTAGGACATGAAGTTAAGCACAGAAACAGGAAGTGGTTAGGGATCCCAAACTGAGGTCAAACAGCTCAAAGGAACAGTAACAAAGGTCAATGTGTGATGTCATAAGGTGGATATTATTTTGGACTCGTCAGCTGAGCTATCAGAGTTTGTTAAAATGAAATGAGACATTCAAAGATGCAGCAGTGTCCTTCTTTTACATCACTGAGACTACAGGGAGACACTGAGGACCACTATCTACGGTGAGCCTGAAGGGACAAAACAGCACAAGATTAATTTCAGACCTTAATTAAACGTGACTGACTTGTTAATGCTGACAGCCCTTGTTATTATATATCAGAATAAATTATGTCCTGTACACTTTTCTTTAACATGAACATTCAATAGTCTAAATTGTTTCATGTTCTAATGTGCTGTCGTGTATGGCGGTAGACGTCTTTTGTCATTTATGTTTTTAGGCTCTCGCTGCAAGGCAAATTCCCCCGGGGGCCATAAAAGATTTCATACATACATTCATTCATTCATTCAAGTGCTGCCATAATTCAGCCTCTTGCCTTCATTTCAGGAACAAAGGAGATATACCGCATTCTCTATGGAGGAAGCCAGTTTAACTTTTGGCTGCTTGAACATTATCGAGTCATAGACATAGTTCAAATCCCCGTCTGACAGGAGTCTCTCTGTGTGGAGTTTGCATGTTGTCCTCGTGCATGTGTGGGTTCTCTCCAGGTACTCCAGCTTCCTCCTGCAGTCCAAAGACATGCTCGTTAGGGTAACTGGAAACTCTAAATTGCTCGTAGGCTGGTTGTCTGTCTCTACATGTCAGTACTGTGATCGACAGGCGACCAATCCAGGGTGTACCCTGCCTCTCACCCAATGGTGGCTGGGATAGGCTCCAGCCCCAGCCCCCCCGCCAATTCTGTGTTGTATTAAATGCTCCATATATTTACGTCCTTTTTATAATTTTATGATCCGTTTATGACTCCAAAGATGTGATACATTTACGCTGGATTTAGCATCTTCACCCGGGTATGACCTTTAATCAACGCTTTCTTTATAAAAACAGAAACTGAGCCCTGAAGGTGGAGCTGAGGGAGGCCGAACATAGTCACTTGTTGTTAGTTTAACTGTACTACCTCCACTGACTCTGGTTGGTCTCCTGCTAATAAAAGAGTTGTTTCCTTAAAAACAAGCTTTGAAACAAAATGTCATATTATTGCAGGAAAATCCTTTCATGTCCAACCGTGGAGACCTCCTGCCACGTTTACAATCATTGCATCTGTCATCAAAAAGGTCCAAGCCGGTGATTATACCCCACGATAAGCATGCCACCCATTGGGCTATCTGGTAACAGATGGAGATCCCACAGTGACAACCCCTCCCCCACAAGCCACCAATGTGCCAGTATGTGATTTCAAAGGCGTCGAGATCATAGGAACTGGACCGACCAAAACATCATTTATCAGCTTCTGCCACACAGATGGCTTTTTAAAAGAAGATAAACTGTCTAGTTTAGGACAAATTTGACGGTAGTGTGTCTAATTACAATGTGTGGCCATTTTCTAATAATTTTATGGGACCAAAATTGGGGTTTGAACTTCTGAGGTGCCCTCAACGTCTTACTGTTATCAGACAAAGTTCAGTCAGTTTATCTGAACTGGAAAAAGTCCAGACAGAAACGATGTTAAAGCTGACACATTCAGTTAAACGTATGTTGTTGAGTAATGCCAGGATAAGTCTGCAGAGGGCGCTAAACAATTTGTTCTGCAAATCATGCCATAGCTCCACTGATATGTAATATAATTGATATAAATTATGAAATTATCATAAATTCTGATATATAATTTCACCAGATGGCTTCAAGCCTCAAACTAAGCCGGTGAAAACTCTTACATAGACTCTCTTCTCCAAGCAGTTGAGAGCCCCTGGCAGCCCTGCAGCATTCTGCCCCCCACACCAGGCTTCCAGAGAACTGGCCAATCGGAAGAAGGTGCGCATGCAGGGAGGGGGGATCTTAAAGAGACAGCAGTTGAAACAAACTACTCTGGCAGAGGCTGAAATTAGGAGCTTTTTTTTTTTTTACCTCCAAATAATGCGAAGCTACTCTATAGGTTTCACAGACTGATGACATGAAAGGTGAACATGAGGACAATATGGGATCTTTAAGCTTATCCGATTTAATTCATTAAATAGGAATTATCTGCAAGTGTTAGCAAGACAACGCAATGACTTTGTAGATGCCACCTTGGTCCCAAGCGTAATATTAAAGGCTATTTTTCACTGTTTTATGGACTTTTATAGACAAAACCATTAGCAGGATAAAATCAATTGATAATGAAAGTAATCAATAGTTCCAGCCCTAAATCCAAGTCAGGCAGAGACACAGTGTATAGGTGTCAAGGTCGGAGTTTGTATTGGAGGGAATGAGAAGTCTGAGAGGAGGAGAGATTGATGGGATGAGTCTCAACACAAAGCCAGTCTACCTGCTACCTCAACACCATAAACTGTAATAAATGTCAGTGCAGGTGGCAGACATGGAGGTGGGTGTCAAGGCTGTGTCACAGCGAGGTGCTCCATCGATCAGTGCTGTCTGCTATCTCTGTATGCCACTGCTCCATTTCCTCAGTGATGCCATTATGTTAATGTGTTTCCGTTTTAAGACACACTGAAGGTTTAGATGAGGTGAAATCTCACTGAACCTCTCTGTGAAATATAAAATTTTAACCTCAGTCTTTAGTAGTGCGCAGCCAATACTGATATCGATATTTCAGCCAATATGTTTCTTAATTCTATCTTCGATCTGTGGAGATGGATACATTTATTGTGTTGATCCACAAAATGCAGTTATCAAACACTTTTGGAAAATATTTATAATGAAGACAAGATGGTCAC